CCAAGGCAGCGGTAACACTGCAGAGGTCGGGCGTTCAGGGCCTCCACGGCTGCCTGGGTCCAGCCGATAGTTATCCGCCCCGCGACCGCAACCTTGCGTGCGGCCGCCGCAGGACACCGGACCCAGAGGGTACCCAATCCCGAGGGTGAAGGCCAGATTTCGCCGGTGTTAATGTCCCCTTCGCTGCACCCGCCCACGCGGGCAGCAGCCGCAGCGACCTCTGCCGACGTGGTCGAATCGACCAGGACGCGCACCCTTAGGTCGACTTTTTTGACCGGACGCACGACCTTTACGCCGGTTCCCGCCAGCGCTTCCGCCACTTTTGTGGCGAAGACGATGGCCTTGGCGGCCCCATCGGTGCCAGGGACCTCCAAAATTATCCCCCTGTCACCGCCCTTGGCCTTCCAGCCAACCACCTGAGACCACGCCTCCTGGTTTGCGGAGGGTGGCGCCAGTTCAGTTCGCATGCGAGCGGGCTCCGTCTGAGCCGTTTTAGCGGCCGCAGCTTGCCCCTTCTTCCTGCCTTTCTTCCTTGTCCGAAGACTGAGGGGGGACGGACGGTCCAGATGCCACCGATCGCAGGGCCGAATCCACCCGCGGCACAAGCTCCCTCCTGAATGATGCCAATTTGGCATCTATCAGGGAGCCTATTTGCGTCAGAAAATCTGCAGGCGCAGCTGCAGGTGAAGGCGAGGACCTTTCTCGCACGGAGCGATGGAGATCCCGGGCGCCGACGATCGGCGGCGAAACTGAGCCCTTCCCCGAGCCCAATGGCGGAGGCATTGTGGCAGCAGCCGGTCTCGCCTCCACCACCTGACGCTGCCGGGCTACCTCCGCCCGCAGGTCCGTCATTTGCCCCCTGAGGAGGGCATTTTCAGCCTCCCAGACCCGGGTGGCGTCGGTAGCTGACCACACTGCCAGCTCCGACATCCCCACCCTGCCATTTAAGGCGGCCACCCTTAGGGCGCGGTTCCAAGTTGCTCTTTAGCCCCTTGGAGACCCCGGAGATCCTGACCATCTCAGCCAGGCTGTCCAATATAGCGGCTATCACATCCCGCGGTGGACGGTTGCGGAAATCCTTCGCAATTTCGGTTTGGTCCGAGAGCGGGATGCTCGACCGCGATGGTCTCGGCACGGGGGCACCCGGGTCGAAGGTTGTCGCAGCCTCTCTCGCCTCAGCCTCCAGTTGGGAGGCCTCGGCCAGCTTAAGTTTGGCCTCGGCGAGGCCAACATAGTCGCCGGTCGTCGGCGGCCGGCTCCTCTTCTTTGCGCCGCCAGTGCCCGGGGCACTCTGCGACGAGAGGTTGGCGGAAACAGAGGAATCCGACTCTCCCCCCCCCCATCGCCGCAGTCGCCCAGGCCTGCCACGGGCCTTTTAACGCCGCGTGTTGCGGAACGCGTCCGTTAATAGGTCTCCCTATAACAGTATCCATCGGGGGGGGGGGGGCTATAGAGTCTACCCCACCTGAAGGGCAGTCATCGGATAAGCGTCGCCCGGGGTCTGCTCGCCCACACCCGGACACGACGGGCTCTGAGGGTTCCGAAACCCCCTGAGCAGTAAACTCCATACTTTGTTCGGACAATTCCATATAATCATCCTTGGTCGCTCTTAGTTTTCACCGCTCAGACTGGACCTTACCGGCATGGGAGGCCCTGCCAGGAACCGAAGTTCCCGCCGGCATCGCTCCAGTCTTTATTGCGGGTACTTAAGCCCCTATACCACGACAAGGTGGCGACCGCATAGAGGGAATATAGCTGACCTTAACTCAACATAACTAACTATAACTCTCTATAACTAACTATAACTAACTATAACCAACTATAACTAACTATTACTCACTATAGCCCACTATGAATAACTGTAACTACAACTAACTATAACCAACTATAACTATTACTCACTATAACTCACTATGAATAACTGTAACTAAGTGTAACATAATGTATTTAACCACAACTCAGTATAACTAACTATGACAAATTATATCTAACTATAACTGACTGTAACTAGCTATAACAATAACTAGCTATAACTAACTGTAACCAGCTATAACTAACTATAACTGATCACAACTACATAACTACTTATAACTGTCTATTACTAACTATAACTATAACTGACTATATCTAACTATAATTAACTATAACTAATTATAACTATCTGTAACAAACTATAACTATAACTAGCTATAACTGACTGTAACTCGTGCAACCTCGAGCAGTCTCGATCAATTCCGCGGGGTCTCAAGCAGTCTCGAGCCGTCTCGACCATTCCCGAACCATCTCGAGAGGATGCGAGCTGTCCGCAGCTGTCCCGTGCAGCCGCGAGCAGTCTCGAGCAATCACGAGGTGTCTCGAGCAGCCTCGAGGTGTCTCGAGCAGCCTCGAGCAGTCTCGAGCAGTCTCACGCAGTCTCGTGAAGTTTCAAGCAGTCTCGAGCCGTCACGAGTCGTTCGAGCATTCTCAAATAGTCTCAAACAGTATCGATCAGTCTTGTGCAATCTCTATCAGTCTCGAGCAGCCTTGAACAGTCTCGATTATTCTCGAGCAGTGTCTAGCTGTTTCGAGCAGTCTCGAGCAATTCCAAGTATTCTCAAGCACTCTCAAGCAGCCTCGAGCAATGTCCAGCAGTCTCGTGCCATCTCGAGCAGACTCGAGCAACCCCAAGTAGTCTCGTGCAATCTCACGCAGTCTCGTGGAGTCTCAAGTAGTCTCGAGCAATTTCGTACAGTCTCGAGCCATCACAAGCAATTTCCAGTGGTCTCGAACGGTCACGAGCAGCCTCGTGTAGTCGCGAGCATTCCCGAACAGTCTCGAATGGTCGCAATTTTTCTTTGGATTCTCGACTTGTGAATTTTGTTTTATTTTTCGAAGTCCACAAACTCGTTCTTTCTCAAAATTAATGTAATCTATGTTTATTGTATTAGCGTCGCAACTAAATAATCGCGTTGCAATAATTTACCTTTCGACAATGTCCCATCAAACAGTTCGTGTTCCGCGTTAAATCATACGCGGCTCGACCGCTCGACCCAACACCGTCCCTACCATACAATAGATTCCGAAAATTACCAAACGACCCCATCTGTACTGCAAGCGTCTTTCCACAAACAAATAAGCGACCGTAGCAATAGTATCTAATTATCCGAAAAGCCGTTATTTCCTGCCTGTAATATTTCCTTCAACGCTGCCTACATCTGGTCGCCAAAATTCTCTCACCGTCACGTATTCCCTTTACCTTCTGCACAACATCAATTACCCAAGGCAATGTCTTTTTCCCCAGTCTTATTACCTGCGACGGTCAACCTTCGAGACACGCGGATTCTTCGCGAGATTCACTCGCAGGTACGATTCATACCTGCAAGAGACTGTTAGTTCGGGACGGTCACCTTTTCCCTTGCTCACAATTTTTTAACCAATCACTCAAAATGACCGCTTCTCTTTCTAGATCCGGAAAACTTGAAAGAACATTGAATCCGAGTGTCTCATTAAAAACTTCACACCCCTAACGAATCTTCTTAAAAGGCAAAACAGACAACGAACAGACAGTTACTAACCAGACACCAACGCGTAAAGACTTCGATCAAGACTCCGTCGATAGTCTCACCATCAACTCAATTCATTCTAAGCCAAGTACAGTTACTCACCCTAGCGTTAAAAATTGTTATGTTATGTTAAAATATAGTGTTATTGATATCAGCCAGTGTTAAAACCATTCTTTATCAACCTACCATCCGTATCACTCGAAAGAATCATAGGGAATCGCGCAGACTCGGTGTCATACACGATTGAATCGGAGACTTACGACCTCCGTAGATCTAACAGTTCACTGTTCAATCTCACCGGGAAAACGTGAAAAAACAGTTCGGATGGCCATCGCTATTTGCATTATAGTATCGCGAAACCAACTATCGCGGCTTGTCTTGGAATCGATTTCAAAGATAGCGTTGCGAGTATAATCGCATTGCAGTAGCTTTAATTGTTTTTCAGAGCACGTGCTGCAGCTGCAACTCTTCGCCGTGTGGCAGTCGCGATTTTCCTTAGAGTCGCGAGTTGAAGTAACAACGGTTATATTGTAGCGATTGTAAACGCGAGTTGGAATCGGACCACGCGACAGAAAAAGGTGAAACACCATTTCTGTATTTAAAAAAATGCAGCCTTATTAGACCTGTGTCTTTCTTCAGTGCAGCCGTCTCTCAAAATGTTGAGCTGGTACCATCATACTGGACGAAGAGACGCATCCGTCCTGCCGTTACGACGTCCAAGCGGGTGGGTGAAGAAATCCGGGATGAATTTCAAGGGACTGGAGTCAGCTCCTGAGCTATCTAGAAGAATTAGCGTTACGAGGGATCTCCTACGCGTTGTCTTAGCATCACGAAAATTACCAACGCACACTCGACGATTCCCTTTAAAGTTATATGAAAACATATCAAAGTACACGGAAGTTTTCCATTTTGAATTAAATAAATCAGCGTCGCGATAGAGAATGCATTTATCTCGTTTGCTTTTAGGCAGCAATGTCTGTTCCTGAAAATAGTGTTGCAGAAGTATGGTCCACTCGCGCGTTTGTTGGAAATACATATCAAGTTCTTTTTTCACGGAATAAGCACTTTGTTTGTGAAGATAGTATTAAAATCTCCATAGTCCCATTTATTCATGCGAAAGAACAGCATTTATTTAAAAAGGCTTTTATTCATTAATATAGATCGTATTTTATCTTTCAGAAAAAGATATGAAGTTTACACTATTAACCTGCAACATTAGCCAATGCAATAATTAGCTCATATTCTGCTCAACTTGTCAACTCAATGTTCATTGAGCATCGTTCACAAAGCTGGCAAATGTGGTTGAGAATCCTACGAGGCGAAAAGTACAAGTCGAATATCGCGCCGCATGTTTTACATGGAGCATCAGGCGTACGGATGCGCGAAAAGAGTGAGACCGCAAGTACGTTAAAGTAAGACGACCTCGATTTCTCGTCCGTGTGAATACTAACACACAGGGCCCACTGGGTTTGTTCTATCTCTCTTAATCATCTCCTGATCTCTTTCTAAATCAATTGCACGAAGATAGGTGCGCAGTAGAATGATGGGGATAGAAAGGTTCTTGAATTAGGAAAAGAAAAAGCTCTTGAATTGAGGGACAACGACTGTACATGAAGAATTTGATCATTGTAGTTGTATATACAGTGTGGTTACCGCATAAATTTTAATAAATGTTGTCCTGTTTGACATACTCAGTAACAGTTCATCTTGTGAAGATAATTGAAAGTTGATCATTATTTTTCAAATAAACTTTCCGTCTAAAATGGCGTTGAATATTTTTAAACAGGTAAAACTGTGTTTTCAAATAATTGTGAGGTTATATCAATCTATTTTTTCGTTGTTTCTTATCACACAATAACATAATTATGTTACATATTTAGGTTTCTATGTGCTATCGTCATCGGCTGATGAACAAAGCTGTGAGGTTTTATGGTATACATGAACCTCCTTATATAATGGTATATTCGTAATTTTTTAAACTGGTATTATGTAATGTGTTTATTTTACATTTATTGTATTTTACGATCTTAAATATAGGTAAAACATTCAGGACCACCTCTATATCCTGTACTGAATGTACAAATTAGAGGATATATGTATCCTTTGCTGGAGAGTTATCAATCTTTCATTGATAAACTTGCAACTGAATTGGATGTAGACATTAATGACAGGTATTTTTATATTTATATTTCTTGTACATGCAACAGTTTATATTTTAGTAATATACATATTTTCGTTCTTACAGTTTTGCTTTCCCACATCGAGATTTTAAAATAGAAAAATACAAAAAACAAAGTTCAATAGTTGAATCAGAATATA